AGCTTTGTTGTTTGTATACCATGTGTGTGTCCAGTGTTCATGTTGACCGATGGCATGGGTGATAGCCAGATCCAACAGCTCGTGTGGCCCTCACCCTGTGTAAACTGACCACATAGCCCTCACCCTGTGTAAACTGGATGAGGGGACCCATGTTTGTAGGTGGTTTAGACATGACCAGTGGAAGAAGACCGTCTCTTTTCTGACCCTACCGCAGTCACTCTTAGGATAACTAAAGATCACAACACATCATGCTAACAGATTACCTCCCCGGCGCCATTCCATGAAGTGATTGTAGTCGACTGCTGGAATAAATTCTTCAGATTGTCCAACATCCAGTACCTTATCATAGATTGTCCTAACTTCCATGTTGTACGTCTTGGTGTTCCTTTCATGTCTTATGTATTATTGTCAAATCAACATCTAATTCTAACCTTATATTGACGAGTCTCAAATGTTACCTTTTGTAACTCTCATTCTTTCCCATGTATACAACTTATGTTATACTTCTGATTACAATTTCTGTGTAGGCGGTGGAGTAGCCTAGTGGTTTATGCGTTCTGTTGTCATGCCGATGATCCAGGTTTGATTCCCCAAGAGAATACAAGAAAATACAAATAAAGGTGTCTTTACATGTATTCATACCTCTGAAGTATATCTGGAGTTACCTGCACTTGCTTAAGAAATATAGGAATAATGGTTGAAATATTTTTTCTGAAAATGTTAACAAAATAATTGAATCGTGTAACGTAAAGTGCTGGTATTATTGTGGCTATATGCCTGGAATATTGCTGAAGCGACATTAAATATCAACTAAGTGACATGTATTTCACCCATCACTGCCTCCTGACAGCATTAACATACACTTCTGACATTGTGTATATAATCGCGTATTTCAAATATGGAACAGATTTATGGTTTCATAGATGCAGGTTTTCTATAGTTAACATCTTATCTTTTGTCTTTGAGTGAACAAGACTCCAGTCCAAATAATGGAAGATAATTTCTGTTAGCGTTACTTCTGAAAGCTTTCAAGATAGTCGCGATGCATAGATGTGTTCTCAGACAGGTAGTTGACATTTTGTATAGAAATTCGGCTGTTATTCAACCTCTTTGAATATTTGCACAATGGGAGACTGCTCCGTAATGGCAGTAATGTGATATGGGGGCGTTAGACATATTCATGCCTTTATCAACACTATTAAATATTCATAATTTCACGTGAGAGGAATATTTTATCAGGAAAATATTTTAAAGAGTCTGTCAAACAAGATGATGTCTTATAAACTGCTATGTAATGAATTTAGCCGTGGAATGCATTATGTTTGGCAGGATAACCGGTTCAGTAAGTACATGAATTTTATTAAATTTGGAAACTTAATATTGCCTCATGAACCGTTCGAATGAATAGATGAATATGAATAATAATTGCCTGGTTTATTATAAATAGCAATTTACAGGTGAAGGTTCTGTGTGATTCACTTAAATAAATCCAATATGACCATTAAGGTAATGAATGAGGACTTACATGGGCAAACTAAAGCCTGTTTTAATGATGATAACCCTTGCTTGTCCATACATGACGATAGTGTTACATTCCGACCTCTAAAGTTAGCGTTCAGTGTGTGTTAACAAGACCCCCAACTGATTGATTAGTCGGTCTTGAAATAGGAGTACGACTGTAAGAACCACGGTTTACAGTGTCTTCAGTGACTTGATTGTCTTCAAATGTGCGAAGGATGATCCTTTGAAGTATACTGATCTAATGTAGCTGTTTGGCAAATTTCAATGTCTTTATTGACATCATGCAAGCTAATGAAGAAACACTGGTGGTGATTTTCAGCCCTACAGTATCACTGTCTTATAGCAGAATAAAGAAAAAGGTGGTCTAGTGGGTTAAGGTGACACATTTATTCACTGAGTTGCATCCCTTTGCTGTGTTAGGATTTAGTTTTTATGAGTTTGAATCACAGATTTTCACTGTGGGTTGTCAGTTTCAAAATCATTTTGTTCCTTTTTCACCTGAATCCCTAGGTGTTTTCCTCCTACTTGAGGTGACCCATGAAGATCCCGGCTAGAACTGATCTTCAGTAACCCATGTTTGTCATAAGAGGCGACTAACGGGATCGGGTGGTCAGGCTCGCTGACTTGGCTGACACATGTCATCGTATCCCAAGTGCGTAGATCAATGCTTATGCTGTTGGTCACTGGATTGTCTGGTCCATACTCGATTAATTACAGACAGCCGTCATATAGCTGGAATATTGCTGAGTGTGGCATTAAACAAAAAAAACAACCAACCAACCAGCTTGAGGTTGACAGGCTATATACAATGAAATAGTGTCGGATGATTGTAATATTATTCTTGTTACATTGAAATTCCTGTTTAACAATACACATCTCCACATCTACTCTTATGATCCCTTATGCATTCAAATGATAACATCCCATTCATAGTAAATGAATGTTAAAGGGATATTCAGTATTCATTTAAAAAATGTAAAATGATAGGCATTTGTGTTTTCAATGATCTTTTTAAACATACAGCATGTGTCTCAACATTGTCACCCATTAATATTAAAATAAGTATCAGTGAATGACACACACAGGAGCATGTGTGTCAACATGCACCCAGCCATAGAGAACACTGTTTGAACAAAGCAGCGTTCACGTAGACAACCCAGACAATCACCAACAATACTGAATCTTCCATGGATCACAAGTCATCTATGCGTGTCACTTCTGGCAGACTCCATGAAAACAACACAGGGTAACCTGAAACAAAACCCATAACGTAAACAGCCCTCCTCCCCAACTCAACAACACCAAGCTTTGATTCAACACAAGGACTGGTCCCTTCTGTGTGCTGTTGTTGGAGTATCCATCAATAAGAACACGGGGCTTTGTTGGGATGCAGTTGAGTCGCATCCTTGACCCGAAAGTTAGCTTGGAAGGAGATACAAATTATTGATGTTTCTGTCAATCTTGACTGACATATTTCAGAAATGATGACTTTCCGGTGAAGCATGTTAAACATTTGTGTCTCCAAGTGTGTCTCCATGTGTGGTTTCAGTGATGTTTTATGTGAGAGCAATGGGCTTCTGAGAATGCTGAATGCATGTCACTTTCCTTGCATTGTACATGTCAAACATAGTCGAGTCATGTTTTGTACATGAGCATGTATAGGATGATGGTTTTGTCATTGATTCTATAAAGATATGAATCTTCCAAAAGCAAAATGTGGGTAGTGCGTGCTATGGTTGATGGTACGGCTAACATTTGTTTGATTTTGACATTTATCAGCGTGGCTCATTCAACATGCCAACACAACACAGTGATCCTCTGAATCAGTTTTCTGGAGTTCTGCAGTTTGTTATTTACAGGATTGTTAACAATAGGTTGTTCCAAGTGTAATTATTGCATTGAAATTTCATTATACCTTTCTTGATTGCACAAAAAATGTTTAAGAAAGATTCATCTGGTTTACTGTGGACAAAGAAAGCCTTGTTGATGATACATGAGACTAGATTCAGCTGTCCTAAGACAAACAGTTTTTAGAGAGTAAGACACAAACTGAGAGTTATTTACTATAGACTGCTAATCTAAGACAAGTGACTGTCCTGAAAAGCTTGTTACATTCTCCCCAAATTCACAAAAGAGATTAAATTACCTTGACACAGACTCATATTAACACCATCTGTGCAAGCTATAAAGGGAGGTAATTATACCATGATGCAACTGGTTCTTCGAAACATTTTATCAAAATATCATGTGCTGGATTCAGACGATTAAATGAAGGAGGCTACTTTATTTTTTAATGTGATAAATGACGGCAAATTAACGTTGTCAATTGCCAGACATTATTGACCATCAGTAAGGGATAGCCTTGATCAACATCAAGAGATATGGTGTGATTTATGTGGCATTAGATCCTAAACATGCCTTTGTTGTTGAAACGAGGAAGGGTAGCCCGTAGAATCAATGAAATGCAATATATGTGGTAGGTAAACCTGCTGGTGAGAGCCTATATATCAGACCACAGGTTATCATAGCTCCGCCATCTTGACAGACGAGTATCCGGGCATGAGTCATGGCTGCCACAACAGTCCTGGGCTCTGTTTACACTCCATTGCCGTCCAGACACCTTCAGAGGAAGAAAAAACCATAAAGGTGGCATGAGTAATGGCGGTAAAGTTCTAGAATAATGTATCATAAAATACACTGACTATTGGGAGACATTTTGTGTTAGAATAAGGACATACAACTTTGTTTGATTAGTGCATTCCTCAACTGTCATGACTATATTAAATTTTAGTTGTTGTCAAAGGACCATAGGGCCATGGGGTAGCTTAGTGGTTAAGGTGCTCGTCATAGCGCCAAAGACCCAGGTTCGATTCACACCAAAGACCTGGGTTGGTGTTTCCCCATGATATTGCTGGAATATTGCTAAAAGTGGTTAAAACTAAACACACTCATTTAAAGGACAACGTGCTGGCACACCGTATGTAATGGAGTCAAGCCAGACAAACCAGTGACTGATATTATGAGCATCATCAGCTCTAGGGTATGGTGACACCCATTCAACCAAGCCATCATGCCTCTTACAACAGCATACTTTGGCCTATTCTAACTCTGAATCCCCATGGGTGATCCTTTGACAAGACACAGCATTAAACACTGCAGTTTGCCAAGAAGTAAAGGTGTTGATAAACAATACCATGGCATGTCAGTAAGTGCCATGTATTACAGTCACCTGAAACCCACCATGCGCCTCACCCCAGAGGTAATGATGGCTATGAGTTTAAATATTAAATAAGGGGACTTCACACCCCTGTACATCAGCTGGGAGTCCATTGTGAAACAGAGGTGTTACTCTTCATATTGACATGAACTGTGCCAGTGTCTATGTGACGCCTTGCTGTAATGTTCACACCTCAGTTATTTATAATGTAGAGTCTTAGAGCAATTCTATGACTAGGTAATTCTGTGATATGCTTCTTCAGGTAGTCAAGGCATCTACTGTTCCTCTATCCATGTGACACCTAGTGGTGATGTTGACACCTTGGTGAAGGCTGTTGAAAAGGGAGAGTGGCTGTGTTCCTTAACAAGATTACTGCATGTGTTGCTTCTGTGAAGACTTCCAACCAGGGTAAATGGATTGCTCTTCAAAGATCTGTTTGATTTATTTTAGAAGTATGGATGACAACTTCTTTATTCTATAATGGTGCGGCATTTTGGTATAGGTTCTTATACCATCGTCAAGCAAGAAAAAGAACCTATACCGAAACGTCACATCATAATATAATAACAGAAGTTGTCATCCATAAAGTATCTTATCTTTCTTATTGCTGTTCAATGGTTTGTCACATGCTTGTGGTGTTGTATATAAGTAAGTACTCTGTGGTCCTCATCATGCTGCTTGTCCTTTACAGCACTTACAGCTAAGACTTCAGTGCCATTAAGTGCCGTAACAATATGAGAGGGTTCTGATCACCAGACAGGGCTGGAAAGAACTTTAAAATTGCTAGTGTACTCCGGTACAGTGGCACAAGTAAAATCACTTGCCCTGATAATTTTTCCACTATACTGGCCGATTTTCTTGTTGATTTTTAAAATAAACAACATAATTAACATTGGAAAGTCAACTGGACACCGGTACAGTGTGATATACAAATTTGCTTGCCCGACAGAAAAAAACACTGGACTCGGGCGTCGGGCAATGGGTTATTTCCACCCCTGCCAGATTCAGCCAATTTCAAATGCAACAAAGGTACAATGAAGCCCAGTGTGTTTCGATGTTCAGAATTGTCTCCCTTAGCTATGTCAGGATCCCCTTATAGTTTGAATCTCGCCTTCATGTTGAGAAAAGCCTAAAGCAGTGTTATCTATCACCAGGCTGACAATTTTTAGGGAACTGATGTAGATATTTTATTAACTCAAGTTTGTTCCAAATATCTTATTTGTGTTATATATGTGGTTTTTTAATTGGTCTGATGTCTGTGCACATCATTACACCTTGTACAACTTTGATGCATTGCATGTGCGGTGTGCTGTTCACCATGTAGAAGCAAAGGTGAAATTTCCTGTGTAGTCACCAACCATGATGACAGTCATAATTCCGCCACATATTGATGTTATGTCAGTGAAGGATAGTGTTGTGTATAGTAACCTGATACATCACCAGGGATGCACATCTGTCAATCTAGGGCTCTCAGATCTTACAGCATAAACACCCACATAATCCACTCGTGACCACCCTATCACCTCCACTAATCCCTGGCCATGATGACAGCCAAGATGGCAGTCTGCTTGCTCTGCTCCATTGGGCAATGTGACATTCATCACTCTTGCCTTGTCACTTACAAAGATGTCTGTTCCTCACATTGACATTCGCACAATGATGGCATCTTCCAAGAGGATACCCTGATTCTAGTCCTACCTGGGTACAATGAATGAAGCCAGTGCTTGTTGCCCTTGTCCAAGTCACTGCAATGTCCATAGCTGTGTCCTTTAGGTCCCTAGGTTTAAGGACTGAAATCCAGCTTCAGGTGGGAATAAAACCCAACGTGATGCATGTGATAAGCATGTCAGCTTTAGTGAAACACACTCTCACAGAGTCCTGTGGCACCTGGCTTGTAAAAATTCATCAGGACCACTAATTGATAAGTTTGCAGTGGTCCTGGTGGCCAGTGAATTTTGGATTAATAGTTTAGTAAATCTACAAATGTTATTTTGGACCACTGAAGTACAGACAGGACCACTAATTATTGTCCACTCACTGGTCCTGTGGTCTGGTGGGAAATTTTGCATTGTGTTGACAAATCAAACTATTTAGCCCTTAATAGATAATCTTTGGCCAACTAGAACAGATGACTTTGTGTCTTCTAAAAACTACAAGGATTTGTGATGCAGTTAAAAATTCAATTACTAGTATCTGATGACGAAACATTTTACCGACCAGACAAAACTCAGGTTGCGAGATTGTTAATTAAACAATGGTAACTGCAGCTGTTTCCTTCACACCTGTTGTTGAAGGTGTCATGTGTTATTTGCATATGGTGGCTCTTCTTTGTCTTTTCTCTTTGTTAATCCATTCACGACCAAATCAAGCTCTATCACTTAGGGATAGAGCTGTTAGTTGATACACTCAATCTCACTTGTATACAGAGGCTTAATAAAAGTGCTTTTACAGCAATATTGATGACTTTAATTATCCTAAGAGTATAACTCATTTATCTGGCAGGCTTCCAATCTGATCCAGGGATCAGTGAGATAATCACATGTGTTTCTGTACAATGGTGCCGTGTGATTGGGTAACATGCTCAAAGTATCCGGTCAGCATTGGCACATCAGAACATGGCCGACTTCAGTGAGGTGGAATTACATGGTCTGTCCATTAAGCTTCAGACATTGTTGAAATGTTAGACAGAGCCAGGTAATCAGCTTTCCTCTGATCAATCTCACCTGTAATCAAGAGGGCCAGGGGCATCACAGCAATAGTTGTGACATTTGGAACAACACCTGACTCTGAGCTGCTGGTTCAGATTAGCATAACCACAGGTATGACAGAGTCTGGCATGACGAGAACAGAGACCAAGAGGATTATTCAGTGGTGTGGTGTGGCCTCACTGCTTTGTTACTGTCATTAAAACATCAGCTTTTGTAGATCAGCTGATTACAAGATGACCAGGTGTCAGTCACGTCAAATTCATCCTTCCGGGTACCCTTTACACATTAGTTAGTTGTAAGGATTTACTAGTTTATAGTCAAACACTTTTGGGTGAGAAGATATGCAGGTGAATATTACAGCAATTTTGCAACAAATTACAATTTAGAGTTGAAGACCACGTATCTAATTCAAATAATTGTAACTTAATATTAGCGTGGCAGCAGAAATCTTGTGTGGTAACATTAAAAGTGGGTTGGTTGGATGGTTGGTTATTGTTTAACCCAGCACTCAGCAGTCTTCCAGCTACATGGCATCAAAAGTGGGGTCTAGCTCTACCTTTCAGTCTTGCAACAACCTCAAGATTGAGTGGCATGTGATTGTTTATCTATAGCAAAATCTGATAGTACAAATTACTAACTGAGCTCGGATGTCCGGTTGTCATATGTCAGGGTGTAACAGTCAGCCTTCATAAAAAGAACAATTTGCTCACTTGTTAACTAAATTTATATTAATGTCTCTGCTCCCAAGTGATTGTAAAAGAAAAAAAAGGGAAACTAGAACATCCAGAGTGTGTCTGTCAGGGTCCAGCTGTGAGTGACTGTGTGTGGACAATGGGTGACAATGTGTCGACGGCCATGATCAAGTGTGAGAGAAATCATCGCTTAGAGGGACAATACACAAAATAATGTCTGTGGACGTCCAACCGGGTGACACTGGTCAAGGCTGGTCACAGGCAGGCAGGGAGGATGTGTTCTGGAATGTCACAAGTCTTCCAGGGTTCATCGTACTTGTCACCAAAAATTACCATTATTTGTTTCTGCAATTATAGAAAGGTCATTATATCTATAGTGTTGTAAAGTGTACCATTGGTGCAAGTAGATTAAATCCAGTAGGGTCAAGTGCACAATACGACAGTCAATGGAGGGGCAGATGTGTTTTAGAAGAAGTTCAAAAGTATTGTTCGGGTTCACTAGACTTGTCGCCAAGAATTACCATTATCTGTTTCTGCAATTATAGAAAGGTCATTATATCTATAGTGCTGTAAAGTGTACCATTGGTGCAAGTAGATTAAATCCAGGTGGGCCAAGTGCAAAATTGGACTGTCAATGGAGGGGCAGATGTGTTTTGGAAGAAATTCAAAAGTATTGTTAGGGTTCACTGGACTTGTCGCCAAGAGACCGTTGTTATCTGTATTCTGATCTGCAGACTGATCGTCCATATTTCCGTGGTCAGGAAATAGTGCCACACTGGTTCAAGGAGATTAAGGCCATATGGGAAAGTGGACATTGTTGACAGCACATTTTGGTAGGGTTCACCAGATTTGTTGCCAAGGCACTGCTGTTCTCAGGTTCTTCATCAATAGACAAATAATCAATATTTCTCCATTAAAGAGTTCAAGTAGATTAAAGCCAGGTGGGAAAGTGCACAGTCCAAGGATGTGGTTGGAATGGTCAATGATTTGAAAGAGCTCTCTCTTTTAAATATTTTAAGGTTCACTGGACTTGTTTCCAAGACTGGTGTTATTCGTTTGTTTCATCTGTACACAGATCATCCATATATCCAAAGTAATGAAACTATGCTACATTGGTTCAAGTAGATTAAAGACAGGAGGAAAAGTGCATCACTCTGGTCAAGGGGGTCTTTGTTGAGAGGTTGTGTGTTCACAAGTTGTATAGGGTTCACTGGCCAGTCACCAAGACATTGGGATTTGCATCAAAACATTGATAGAGGCATGTGGTGTGTGAACATTATTGGTCGATTTTGTACTCATTATGGGATTTATTTGCATCTAAATCTAGAAAAGGGTTGGTCTTCAAATTTATGGTGTTATTACAGTGAGTGAGTGAGTTTGGTTTTATACTGCTTTAAGCAATATTCCAGCAATATCACGGCAGGGGACACCAGAAATTGGCTTCACACATTGTACCCATGTAGGGAATTGAACCTGGGTCTTCAGCATGACGAACAAACGCTTTAACCACTAGGCTACCCACAGCCCTGTGTTATTACAGACACCTGTATGGTCACACTACACCAGATGGGTAGCAGGGGCCTGTACTGAGGGTCAGATTATGCTGATTTGTTCTCCAGCTCCTAACTTTCACTTCCATGTACTACAGATAAATCCACCTTGTAGCACACGTAATTAAAGATTTAGTTTTTAGAATTATGGATATTTAAAACTATTGCACATGTTGTTAAGGATTAAGTTAAGAGGAGTATGGATATTTAAAACTGTAGGACATGTTGATAAGGATTTGATTTTTAGGAGTATGGATATATTTTAGCATAGCACTATATAATTAAGGATTAAGTTTGTGAATTATCAGTGGGTTGTTTGACAGGTGTTTGCTACATTAAGGATGTAGTCCTCAGCTTCTCTTCCACCTTGTTAGGTTTATGCATGTTTGAACTTTTGACACATCCATTTAGCCATGTTAACTGTTATTGTGGAATTGACACAGGTTTGATGGAAGGGG